GTCCACACATATCCAGCACTGGCTGGAGCTCGCTGCGCATCCCCATCTACGGGCCATCGCACGCATCTTCCTGGATCTGGCATGCTCCCACCACTCGTGCAGCCCGATGACAGCGTGCCCGCCGGCAGCCGACACTGCTCCCGGCATGTCGGCACGTAGCTTGGCGTTCATCCTCTTTTCGCGCTTCTGCCAATCGGATGGCATCTTTCCGCTGGTCCCCCCACCAGGCCCGAGCGGAACCGGGGCCTTGAATGGTCGTGAGGGGGCTACCTCTGGCGCTGGGATTGTTCCCGGGGGGGCGTCCGTGCCGAAGCTCTTTACCCTGACACCAGCGCGCATCCAGTGGCTTTCTCGCTTTTGGACAGTCCTCGACCCGTACTGCTCAATGGCAGTCACCAAGCTTGCCGGTGTGTCGGTGGACATGTTCGCCACACGGTGCGTCGCCTGTGTACTATTCTCTCCCGTGCTCCGGCCACCTCGCCTCCCCCCCCCCCCCTCCCAAAATATGCGCACACGCACACACAATATCCAAGGACACATGCGTATGCATTTGCCCAGCCTCACACATGTCTCTTATCGACAGATGGTTCAACACATACTTTGCCGGAGTGCTGCCCGCATTGGATGTCATTGAGGCGATCATGGTCCATCAGCGTGCTGGGGCAGTGTTGATTTTCGTGGCGCTGGCCCTTCTGGAATTCCTTCGCCAGCAACTCCTCACTTCGGTGGAGGTGATCATTGCCTCGCTTCAAGAAACGCTGGAACATATGGACGACTCGGATGACGTCCCCGCCAACTGCCTTTCCTGGTTGTCAGAATCCCTGGCTCCGGTTCCCCTCTTGTTGAATGTCGAGCACCTGGCCTCCCTGGTGCCCATCAACCCCACAGACTATCCACCCCCAAAGACCGGCCCGGGGAAAGCAGCAGCAGCAGCAGCAGCAGCAGCAGCAGCAGCGGTAGCACCACCAACCCCGACAACCGAACCAGCCCATGCAGGCCCGGTCGCAGATTCTCCGCGTGCCAGTCCGGCGGCGGCGGTGCCTCCGGCGGCCGACACCGGGAGACCACTGGCCCGTGCACTCAACACCATGCGGCAGCGCGCCATCTCAACGCTGGAGGGCTCCGGCTCGGGCGGCGGAGACCTTCACCATCATCACCGGCCAGATTCCCTCCCGACCGGGCCGGTCTCCCTCGGGGTGGGGACCCCGCGCTCGCCGGCCCCGGGCTCCGGTGCCACCTCTCCCGCGCCGGGACGCGCCTCAGGGCCGCCAGTGGCCACTGCCCGGTCGGAGGGCAGCACCCCTGGCTCACCGCGAGCTGGAACGGCGGCGGCCCGCGCCGCGGCCCCCTTTGGCTGGGCCCACCTCCTGCAAGATATCGATCCTGTGGCACAAAGTTTGGCCCTGCGATCGGTGCTCATTGTTCTCGGTGTGACTGTTCCGCAATCGGCCGACTCCGACTCGGAATCCGAGGGCGAGGATCTCGAGACCGGGCCCGGCGCCCCCTCGCAGGAGGCCCCCGCCGCCTGGCCGCCTGTCTGCCAGATCGACTGCGCGACATCTTCAGAACCTGCTGCTGCCCATTCACGTGGGGTGGACATCACGTCCAGGAGGCGCTCGCACAGCGTGTCCAACACCCCGGCGCCTCTTCAGCTGGCAGCTGCCGACGCATACGCCATTGTCGCCCGTGGGCTGGGGCTTCTGGCCCAGGCCGAAAGACTTGGCGCTCTGCCGATCTCGCTGGAGTGAGCTCCAAAGTGTGGCCTGCGTCTTCCCCCCCCCCCCCCCCCCCCCGTGTGTCTGCTGTGTGCGTGTTCGTGCATGTGTGTGCCAGGGCCGCCGGACGACCGCCTTGGATCCGGGGCGGGAGACAATACAGACATGCCTCCCTTTTACACACCATCATAGTTGCTCCCCCCCCCCCCCGCTTGTCGCCTGTTTGAGGCTGATTGGCATACTCCCGTACGCCTGGGGGCTCTCTGGAATGGGGCAAAAGAACTGGCGATCCCCTTCCCCACAAATGGGGGGCCATTTTACCTCACTTTGCCTCGCCTCGCCTGTAATTGCCCAGGCGGGGGCCCCTCCCCAGCGCCTCCCCCTTCTCGTTTCCCTCTCCTCCAGCGCGTCGCGCGGCCTCACCTTTGGGCCCACGGCGCTGCGAGTCGCCCGGATTGGCTTGGCCATCGGCTCCAATAGCAGGCTTGCCTTTCGGATGCATGCGCATCCGACGTTCTTTCTGCCCCTGCGACTTGGTATACGCCCCATTGGGCAGTGTTTTTGCGGTAGGGGGAGAGCTTGCCACAGGCATATTTCCCCCTCCCCATGGCGGCCTTCCTTCTTTTCGCCCTTTTTCCATTGCTTCACCATCAGATTTGGGCAAGAGGCGAGGAAAAACAAAGGTTGGGAAAGGAAACACACGAGATGGCCTGAGAAACAGTGGCAGGGCGAAAGGCGCCAAGGTGGGCCGGGACAACTGCGGGCGCGATCGGGGAGCAAGCAGCATGCCAAAAGTGGGGAGCAACGTGACCCGCCTTGGCCAAGACACAGGCCCCATCTGGGATGAGGTGCAGTGGGGGGGGGGGGGGGGAAGCTCCATGAACGCCCACGAATACGCCCCCAGACTGGGGGCTCGGACTGCGCCACGCACGGTCTCCCGGCCGAGCCGGCGAAACCTTTTTCAACCGCGATCCACCCAGGTGGCTCACTTCTGCGCCAGGCACATCGTCCCATCTCCCTCTCTCGCCCCCCCCCCCCCCCCTCCCCCTCCTCGCCCACATATACACACCACCACCCGCCGTGGCGCGCCCTCGACCTTTGTCTTTCCCCCCCTCTTGCTCTGCTTCACGCGCCCCTACCCAGGACCAAACAGCCGCCACACTGATGGAGGGAGAACACGCGCCGCTGGTGGTCCCCCTCGGGCTCAAGGTGGAAGATGGCCAGCCTGTGGCGGCCACAACGCCGGCAGCCGAAGCCGCTGCCGGCCAAGAGTCGCCCGCTAGAGCCTCTCCAATGGGCAGCCCGGCGCCCGGGCCCCCGGTCCCCGGGTCCCCTTCGGGGTCCTCCTCGCCGAGCGAGCAGTACCGGTGCTTGATTTGCAACAAGTACCTGTCCAATGACCAGAAATTGGTTCATCACTATCACCATGAGCGGTTCACGGTGGCCAATGCCCTGCGCGAAACCCTCTCCGCCCCGGACAACAATGCCCTGACCCCGCCTCCAGCTGCCGCTGACCCGCCGCGGTGCGTCCCCCAATCCCCTGCCTCATGCTGCTCGGCCGTACACCCTGTCTGACTCCCAAAGGCACTGTCATCCTGCACAGACGCCGGCTGCGGTCCAGCTTCGTGTCCAGTAACCCCTCGTCAGAAGCCGCGCCGGCCGTGCAATCGCCCCTCAGTGAGGCGGAACTCGCCTCACGGGCACACCTTGCCGGGAAGGTCCTGTCCAATGTGCGCACCCGGCGTGCCCAGCGCAATGCCGCCCTTGGTCTTGAGGGGGGCGCCTTCCCGGCCATCTGCCCCGAGGTGTTGGCCCTGCAACAGCACCAGCCAGCTTCAGGCGCCGAGCCCACGCCGAAGCGCCGTCGGGCCCCTGTCCACAACTCTACCGCGTCTTCTCCATCCTCTCGCTCCGGGGGTGGGGTTTTGTCAGGATCCTCGGCTCCGGCGACCCCCTCTCCGGTCAGGCCCGAGCCAGTCCCCACTGGGGATGCAGCCCGCCGGCGCGGTGCCTCGGCGGCCTCATCCGCCACCATCACCTATGAGTCGGAGTTCCTGACGACGGCCGTGCGACATTGCCCCTCTTGCAATCAGCCCTTCCCCCCTGAGGCCACCTCCTTCACCATCAACGACCATATTGACATCTGTCTGGAGACATTTGCCGCGGTCGAGGCCGCGAGTGCCGCCGCGGCCGACGCCGCGCCCCCTGCCCCGACCGGCGATCCCGCGAGCGAGATGGCCACCGAGTCCCCGCCTAGCCCGCTGTCACCCTCCTCCTCGATGGATGTGGTGCATATTGTCCTCCCCTCTGATCGGGGACAGCAGCCACGCTTCTTCGAGCGCATGCTCCCTCCGGTCACCACCCTGCAGACTCCCTCCGCGGCCCGTGGGCAGGAAGGCTCCACCCGGTCCTCGGCCTCTGCCGCCTCAGATTGCGAATCAGATGTGGACATCTCGCTGGATGACACGAGTGCCAGTCCATATGGACCATCGCAGTGCGTCGGCGCCCCCCTAAATACCCTGCCGGGCGTGTCCTTCTCTCCCCCCCCCCCCCCCCCTCCGCCACTCCCCTTGTTTCTCTTCCGCCCCTGGGGCTTCTGTGTCTCTTACTCGTGTGCCCCTTCCTCGCCTACCCCCATGCGCCCCTTGCCCCATCCCTTGCAGGTACTCGCAGATGGACCTGGTGGCAGCGCGAGCCGCCATGCGCGGGCCATCGGCGAGGGCCGGCCCTGCGGGCACGTCTCAACGTCGCGGGTCTCTCCTGGCTGCCATGGATCCGACGGTCTCCTCGATTTTGAGTGACCTGGGCGGGGTGATCAACGATGATACCTTCTTGGATGCGGTTGTGGCGAGCTCCGCCGTGCCAGCGGTGGCTACCACCCCCGGCCGCCGTTCTGCCGATGAGTCGACCGATAATTTGGCCGATCAGGCGGCCCTCGCTGCCGCGGCTGAGGATGCCCGTCGGGTGGGGATCATCAGCTCGGATCGAGTCCTGGAAGCGGCGGTTCGGGCCAGTCGAACGGACCCCCCGCCTGCTGGGCCGCTTGGCCCTGCCCGATCGGCGCTGGACCTGCTCAGCGTCCCGGCTTCCGGGGGGCCGGCCCCGGCGGACTTGGATCCGACCCGTCTGTTGGCAGTGGTCGCGCATTTGAAACGCCATATTGCGGATCTGGCTGCGGCCGGGCACAGTATGCGCCATGCTGCCGCCCAGGTGACCGGATCGAGTGCCCAGGTGTGTGTATGTGTGTCCGCAATGGTTTGTGCATTTGTGTGGTGTCATCGCATTCTCCTTACACGATCTATGGTGTATTTTCCCCAATCCAGCCCCAGGACCAGGGTGCTTGCTGCCTGATTTGCCTGTGTGCCTTCGACCGGCCCCTGGTATCAATCGTATGCTGGCATATCCATTGCGAAGGGTGCTGGATGAATGCCCTGGGCCAGAAGCGCCTGTGTCCCCAGTGCTCGGTGATCACCGCCGCGACCGACCTACGACGGGTGTACATCTGAGGGCCCTTTCTCCCTCATCCTCCCCTCGGCTCTCCCGTCCCAATCCCCAGGTGTTGAGCCGTCCTTTGCGCCCCTCTTGTGGTGGTGCTGCTGATGACGGCTCTCCGACTGCCCACCCACAACCCACTTCACATTATACCACGCAGCCATGGCTGGGAAAAAACAGCACAACAAGCAGGATGTATTCATAGAGAGGGGGAGGGGGGGGGGAGAGGGGGAAAGACGACAAGGACAGGAGCGTGAAGTGTTGGATAAATACGAGAAGAGGCCACCATGTGGGGTGAGGGGGGAAAGGGGGAGAGAGAGAGAGAGAGGGAGGGAGAGAGACGCCCAGGCAACTCGGTAGAGTCTGTGCGTCCGCGCTGATCCGGCCACCTCGACGGAGGGGGGGAGAGAGGAAAGCGGGTAAGCCAAATGGGAGGGAGGACTCGGGCAACACTCGCATGCCTTGGACACCGCAGGAGAGGGGAAGTGCTAGGGAAAACAGGGGGGCCGGCAATCAACTGGATGCGAGGAGAATGACAATGACGGGGGTAACTATGGAGATGGTGCCAGGAAAGAGAGGAGGGGAGAAAGAGAGAGAGGGGGGGGGGGAAGGGGGGAGGAGATGGACAGGTAGGTGGACCACCTCTCGCCGCAACACTGGTGCTATCTAAAAAGGGGGAAGGAGGGATGATGGAGCATGAAAGGCGAGCCTAGTCGCGGCGCCACCCCATGAAACGAGTGATGGCCCAATGCGAGAGGAGGATGCCCCAGACGACGACGATCATGGTCTCAATGCGTTGGTGGCTGAGGCCGGTGAAGTCCTTTGACGAGCCGGTGTAGAGGAAGCTCACATACACCGCGGACCAGATCCAGCCGGCAAGATGGGAATCGAGACTGTGCATGTGCATGCGCATGTACGTGTGTGTGTGTGTGTTTGTGTGAGTGTGTGTGTTTGTGTGAGTGTGAGTGTGTGTGTGTGTGTGAGTGAGTGAGTGAAAGGCATGTGCCAGGGAGGAGGGAGGTGAGGCCACAGAGCAGGAGGGGCGCAGGTCCGCCAGGGGGTACAAGGCGCGGGGAGAGGAAAATGGCCATGATGATTGAGGCGACGCACCGGTCGAGGAAGCCACCATGAGAGCCAAGGAAGGAGGACGAGTCCTTGATGCGGTGGGAGCGCTTCCACCAGGAAACGAACAGATCACCAAAGACACCGACCAGGAACATGACAACCATGTAGAAAAGACCCTGACGGATCGGGACAGCGCTGGAAGAGGCCGGACCAAAAGAGTGAATAGCGAGGGGAGGGGAGGGGAGAGGGGGGGGGAGGGGGGAGGGGGGGTTAGACGTGAATGGGCAAGGCAATGGCAATCGGTGGGCAACTTGCGGGCGAGAGCGATTGCGCGCGCCCTGGGAAGGGAGAGGGACAATAATTCGCCATGGCGCACCTCGGATCAGCCAGGTAGAAGTAGTACATGGCGATGCAAATGAAGAAAGCACAGATGTAGCCCTCGAGAGACTTGTTAGGGGAGATCTTCGGGACGATCTTCGTCCGGCCGAAGGTCTTGCCAGTGAAATACTGGAAGCCGTCCGATCCAGCAACGATGATGCTGTATGATGCCGGCGAGGATGGAGGTTGTGTGTGTGCGTGTGCGTGTGCGTGTGCGTGTGCGTGTGCGTGTGCGTGTGCGTGTGCGTGTGCGTGTGCGTGTGCGTGTGTGTGTGCGTGCGTGCGTGCGTGCGTGCGTGCGTATGCGTCAGTATGGGCAGCGATGAAAGGCCCGGCTCGGCAAATGGGCAGTCCCCGACGCACCTGATAGCAAGCAGCACGTCGACCGGGTAGTTGGCCATGATCCACATGACACAAGTCAGGCCGGAAAGGACATAGTTGACGACCAGCACGTCAAAGGTGCGCAGCCCAGCGAGGAGACCAATGCCAGCAACCAGCAGGGCCCGCAGGCCGATGTACTCCCAGATGGGGAATGTACCGGAGCACCACCAGGCCGTGGTGGCGAGCGGGTCGGCGCCGCCCATGCCCGGGGTGAGCCAGCGCAGGACCGGCGAGAGGACACTGGTAGTCACCTGGCACAAGCCACTGCCGCGGCCATTGAGCACGGCAAAGTCGAAGAGCGACAGCAGGGTGAAGCACACCAGCATGACCGGGCCCCGGCGCCCGGTGAACTCCTTACCGAGCTCCCACCAGAGGAGCACGGCGCAGGGGATCTGCAGGAGGACCGGCGTGCGGTACATGAGGATGTAGGCCACCAGGAAGATGGCGAAGCCGATGGGGACGCGCGCGCGTGCCAGATTGGACGGCGCGTACCAGGGGTCGGCCGTGGCTTTGGCGGCGCCGGGGGCAGCGGCGACGGCCTGCTGGGCCGAAGCGGCGGCCTGCCGCACCGAGGACTTGACGCTGGAAGGAGGCATGTCTCGGCGGCTGTGCCGGCCATGGGGGGGGGGGGGGGGGGGGGGGGGGGGGGGGGGGGG